GTGGGAGGGGCACCTACACCCTGTTGGCCCTGTGGGAGGGGCACCTACACCCTGTTGGCCCTGTGGGAGGGGCACCTACACCCTGCTGGCACACCCAGAGCTGCCCAGATGAGGCTGCGCCTCCCCAGGGGAAAGGGAGCCCCTGGGCCCAGGCAATGACTGTCCAAATGCCACTGTCCTGCCATAGCCAGCCCTGTCCTCAGAGGCACAGCCTTACCTTGCCGAAGCTGCCCTTCCCGATGGCCCGCAGAATCTGGAAGTGGTCAAAGTTCACTGTGGAAAAAATCAGAGGAATTCCAGGTAATGTGGCTGAAGGTCACACAGCTCCCATCCAAGACCAGCCCCCACCTGCAGCCCCTGCAGGCTTCCCAGGGGCCCCTCATCCTGGAGAGGGCCAGACGGGGTGGTTGGAGGCTGAGTCCAGCCAGACATAGGGCTTCGGGGCTGGGCCACACCCTCATCTCAGGATGTTCAGGGTGGGGGCGTGTGCCAGCAAACAGAAGGGACGGGGTGTGAACTAGCTACACAGCACCTGAGCACCACACTGGACACAGCTTCAGCCCTCGCCACCCCAAGCCACCATCAAGTTTTCTTCAACCAGTGTAGCCTTCTGACAGGCGGGCCTGGGGGTCTCAGGGAAGCTGTGTACACAGAAGCCACGTCCAGATCCCAGCTAGGACCTCGGGAGTAGCCCCATGGCACCCTGTCTGTGTCTCCAAGAAATGGGGACCTTTGCCGTGCTGGGTTCACTGCATAGACTGGGGGGCCCACAAATGGCCCCAGGATTAATAATGGGGGGTGAGGCACAGATGTGGCTGTGTCAGTGACCCGGCGTGGTCTAGGAGTGTGCCAGGTGATCCACAGGCCTGCCTGAAACTGCAGATGTCACCATCGCTGATCATATCAGCTTTTCTAATTGTCACGCCCCTCGAGAGGGAAGCTCCCCGGTTGTAACTGTGATCTGTGGATGTTAATCCACACTGGGCTATCAGGACTTTGCTGTCCCTTCCAGGTGCCTTCTGCTCTGTTCTAAACCTGAGACAAGGGGCAGGCCGTCCAGGTGATCAGAACTGCCCTGCAGCCCTGGGAGGAGAGGGCACCTGCCGCTGTTGGCGCAATCCTTGACCATCCTTGACCCTGCCTGGGATTAAAGGACAGCCCAGACCCTGCTGCTGCTTCCGGCCCTGCTCCCAGTGCCTGCTGTGAGCAACTCACCAGGTCCCCACACCACCCTGGGCCCTGCCACGTGCCCACCGAGGCTCTCAGCCCCATTTCTGGCTCCTAAAGGAGACATTGGCTCTTGTTCAGGCCCTCGATGGGGCCATGCAGAGAAGGAACTCCACTAGTCACAGCGGCCGTCTGGGCTTTGCAGGCAGCAATTTTATAATCAGTTGATGGGCTGAAAGTTGTCCTGCAAACGCTGCCCTTGCCCTGAGCGGAGTCTACAGATACCACTGCAATACCCGTAGCTAGTTTCTAAAATGCCCCCAACACTGAATCTCCAGTCTGCATCTGTAAGGGGTGGCTGGGGGTGCTTTTCAGGTTTCCACTCAACTTTCCAGCTGCGACCTAGAGGTCAGAGCCACTTCTAGGCAAAGGTCAGTGGTCTCGTTAAACCCTGGGCAGGGGAGATGGTCCCTAGGAAGGCCCTGCAGGGTCATCCCGAGAGGGAGATGTGTGGCCCAGACTAGCCAAACAGGAGTACAGGCAGACTTCCCAGAAGAAGCAAACACCCGCCCAAGGGTGACAGGGAGTCTGCGAGGCAGGCGTGGGAGGCCCAGGCAGAAGCACACAGCCGACTGAAGTCTCGCTATGACAGGCAGGCTCCCAGCTGGGGCCTGGTGGGCAGGAAGGGCTGAGGCTTCCAAGGGGGTCACCTGCGTATGGAAAAAGCTGCTCATCTCACATCCAGGCTTTGCCAGGAGCAAAAAACGAAACAAAAGCACCAAATCAAAGACAAGGGGCTCTTTTCCAGAGTGGTCAGTGCTGCTCCAGTGGCAAATCCTTCAGGGTTTCTGGGGCTCTGCCAGCTGTGGCAACATGCGAGAACATGCATGTTTGGGGACAGGAGCCCTGTGCATGTCGGGTTGTTCCCGGGCATCTGTGGGTCCTACAGGCCCTGGGAGCAGGAGGGATCAGAGCGAGAGGGTCAGTGCCACACCGTGGTCTGAAACAAGCCACATGAAAGCCGACTATCAGCTTCCGTGCTGTCACCAGCAAATCCAAGGCAAAAGCACTGGGGACAACCTGACACCTTTTCTTCTTAGACAAAGATGAGAATCTGCTCTTTGTGTGTGGCCTGGCTGAGACCCACCCTTGCCTTGCACTGGCCCCTGCATCCAGCCTGTTGTGGGCATAGGAAGAATGCTCCTAATAACCGGCAGTCTCAGGGACACCATAAACCAGTGAGATTTCTGGTTAAAACACAGTCTCCTCATAAGTTAGGGCTTTTACTAAAACTGACAAGAAAATGCCCCCAAGGAGGACAGCAAAGAGAAGATGGGCCCTGAAGAGTAAAAATAGATGTTCTGCAGAGCTCCGTGAGTCACAGCTATTGTCACCTCAGCACAATGCACCTACCCTAGAAGGCTTCCTCTGCAGACCTGGAGAGACAGCTCTGCCCCTGACGCCCAGGCCTATGTGATGCCTCCGGAGGCCCAGGAAGTGAATGCTGGGTGGAAGGAGAGCTGCCCATGGCCACAGCCCTGCCTGCCCATCCAGGTGTCCAGGAGACCCTGACCTCAGAGCAACCTGGGGAGAACCGCCCTTTCACCCACAGGAGAAGGCCATTCTAGAAGCAGGGATTATGTGAGAAGCTGTGGCAGTAAATTCAAGGGCCCAAGTTGCAAATTCATTCAGAGGTTAGGTTTTGACATATATCACGTGACCCAGAAAACTCCTGATGAGGAAAACCACCCCCTGGGGCTCTAAGACCCTGAGCTCTGCAGAACTGTGCAGCCCTGGGAAGTAAGTCACGCCTACTCCAGGGGACCCTGGCACGTAAGGCTCTAGCCTTAGGGAACCAGGCCTGGCACACAGGGCTCCAGATTCAGGGGACACCAGGCTGCAGAGGAGTTGAAACTGTCCAACACCTCCTTCATGCAACGGGGCCTCCCCTGTCTCCTGGGGCCCCACTGGCCCACCTGTGTAAACCTGAACCTTGTTCTTCTCTCCACAGGCCTGCTGGGGAGCAAAGACCTGGCAGGCTGAGAGGGGCCTGGCCGTTACAGACAAGAAATGAGCCCCAGCAGGGCACTTGGAACAGCTGGAGAGGGAGGGACGCTCCTACTTCCTAGGTGGGAGCATTGAGCAGCAGAGTCCAGCTATGGACTAGAGAGGTAGTCAGACAGGATCCCAGAGATAGTCAGATCGTTGACCCTCTTGCTGGGGCCCAAACCAACCATTTCCCTGGCCTCTGAGGACATCTTGAGGTCCTGGGATAGGAAGGTCAAATGCCATGAGCAAGGAAGCAGGTGGTGGCCTGTGCCCAGACTCCTCTGTCCTAAGGGAGCTTGATGCCTCAAGGTCATGCCTTGGCCAAGCATCATGAATCTGGCAGAACTCCCTGGCCACCTCCCCCCATCAGGGCAGGTGTGCAGACCCTGTGGTCACGGAGCTGCAGCCATTACCCCCATAAAGCTTCTTGCATCCCCGGCAGTCACCTGAATCTCCAGGGTGTAGCTGCCCGTTTAGGCCATGGGGACAGCAGCCGGGCGTCACACCCGGGACACACCCTGTGCCCAGGCTCAATCTCAGAAGCAGAGGTCTCTCCTCCTTTTCCACAAAGCAGACACAGCTGAGAAGTGGCACCAGTCAGGGCAGAGCTGAGGTCTCTAGGCCCCTCAGCTCCAGAACAATCTTGTCCTCCTGCCCAGGAATGTGCCCAGAGCCAGGTACCTACCCACCCAAGTTGGACCCTAGGGCAGTATCCTTGCCACCTCCCCCCCCACTTACAGTAAAAGTTTCCACCCATAAAACATGTTCAGTGGCAACTCCCCAGACTGCCACTGTTTAGCCCAGTTCTGCCCCATCTAAACCATCTGTACTGTACCTGGTGCTTACTACTGCCAACCTCAGACAACGGGGGAACCTTCATAAATTACTGATTACGGCAACCGACAGATCAATGCAGCATCTCTGGGCTGGCTGTGGCTCAGCCCACCTGGACCACAGGGACCACCCCACAGCAGCTCCCCCACCCCTGTGCACTGTGGACAGAGATGCCTGAGCCCAGGCCACCCAGAGTGGTCCAGCTGCTCAAGGCCAGGCCCACAGAGGACAGAGTGATGCCTGGACAGCCAAGGCCCTCAGGCCAGGCACTGGTTATTCATGGGCTTTTAGGGCCAGGAAGGTGGGGTGGACCTAGGTGGGCTGGATACCATGAAGCTAATAGGAAGAGGTGCAGGCGGGGAGGCTTCCCAAAAACCAGAGGGCACGAGGCTCACTGTGGGGCCGACGGTGGGACCAGAGTGGCAGGCTGCACCGCAGGGCCATGAGGAGGGGTGGCAGGGTCCTGCCGGTGAGCCAATGACAGGAGGCCAGGGCTGATACCACCACGGCCCACCAAGCCCATCACCCTCCAGGGCCCTCTTCAGATACCAGGAGGGGCCCAGAGCTGAGGCCCTGCCCTGGGGGACCCATAAGTGGCTCTGAGGATGTTCTCAAGACCTAGTAAAACAGATGTCAGGCCTGGACCTGAGGCTGGAGCTGGGGGCTCCTGTGCACCTGTGTGTAAACGCTCAGCTTCCACGGCTTGTCACGTGTAGCCCACAGGGAAACCATGTCTGCCCCACTGCCTACAGCACCAAGGAGGCCAAGGTCCAGCTAGCCTTGCCCAAATCCCAGGCCCTGCTATGGAAGGGGGGGGCCTGGCATCCTTGGGGATGACTGCAGGAAGGCCTTGTCGGCCCCTGGTGTCCTGTGGGAAAAAGATGTGTGAGCACCACTATGTTACTCCCCTCCTGCTCAGCTGCTATGGGACAGCCCCGGCTGCACACTCCCCGGGGCTCCTGAGGAGCAGCCCCAACACCCCCACCCAGGGAGGCCATCCTGCTCTGACCTAGAAAAGAGGTAGCCGCCTGTCCCCTCAGTCAGTAGGGAAGCTGTGCCATGTCTGCCGGCACAGCGGGAACAGAAATCCCATCTTCACACCCATTAGCACTGGCACAAACTCAGAGATTGCCTTCCCTAGAACTGTCATCTGTGTGCAGACGCCCTCCAGCCTCCCTTTTTCTAAAAGGGAGGGCCTGGACGTAGCCAGGGAAGCCCCTCCC